GCGTGAGTATAGGTCGAGTGTAAACGTCCCCCTTCCACGTAAAAATTATGCTTTCATTTGTTTTTTTTATTATATTTTCTTTTTCTATTTTCTTTTAACTTTTTTTGTTTTTGCTTGAATTTTAATTTTTTTTATTTGCAGGCTTCAAGAATGGAATTCTGGCTCGACAGTTCAGTAACAATTTATTATTATTATTATTATTATTATTATTTTGTTTTTTACTATTCTTTTTCAAATAAATTTCATGCTCTTCTGGCACCAGCTGGTCTTTGTGTTTGTGGTGGACGATATCTGAGTGGGTTGAATGGGATTTCTTCAATTGGGGCCTTAAAATGATCTTGTATTTGAGAAAATGTAAAAATTCAAGTTACCTGAGTGGTCTCCTCTTCTCCAGCTTCCTCTTCTTCGACCTCTTCTTCTCCGTCATCGTTTTCTTCTTCTTGTTCCTCTTGTTTAGCAACTTCCTTAACAGTTGCAGGCCTGTATGATAGTAATCATGTTTCAAACGCTTTAATCTGAAGTGACTCACTTGAAAGTTGGTTCAACAGCTTGAATTCTCTTTGGAACAGTCTCACCGGCAGCGCACATGATTCTGTAAACCCAGACACGAACTCCTCCTCTGTAAAGAAGATTTTTAGAAAAAGTAAGGAAAAGGTATAAACGAACTGCTCGATTCTAACATTGGCAATGAAATCGTATTCTGGTCCATCAGTACCGTATAAGTCTTTCTGGGCGACTGGTCCTCCTTGATAGTAAGAACCGAGAGAAACTAAGTCAGTTCCAACATAAATTTTGTTGGAAGTCTTGAGAGTACAACAGCGGAGAAGAAGACTAAACAAATGTAGATGTGCTGATTATAGTTTGGAAAATAAAGAAATACCTCTGCTCATTAGCTGCCCAACGCATTCCGGAGAACACATCAGTCTCAGCACGGCAGGAAGTTTGATCTTCGATACATCTGTAAAGTATGGAATTGCATGAAAGGCTGTTATTTGAATGATATTTTCATTTTTCTCATGAAAAAACTTTTAGTAGGTCATAAGGACCGTGAATGCTGTTGGTTGTGTCATTCTTTTAATGATAATTCCAAGAGAAAAGACCTTGCTCCAGATTCTCCGCATGGAATGGGGCCGCATTCAGCTTCTAACGCACCATCCTCGTACACAGTTAGCCTGTTGATTACCTTAAATAGTTCTTCATCAGTTGAAATAAGCTTTCACTTCATGGTGCTTGTGAACCAATAAAGTTTGAAGAATGTACCTGATTTGGAGAACATCTTGTGCCTTGAACGGGAGTAACAGCAGAAGCTCCAGCACACAAGCAAACAATGAGGAAAAGAGCCAACATGCTACAAATGAACAATATCAGTTATACTGCTAAGACCGTAACTGTTAGAGAGGTTCACATAAAATCATATGAAGGCTTCGGAAGGACACAGAACAATGATAAAGAAAAAACAAGTGGGAATGATAGTTTTGAAACATACAAAATGAATTCGAAGAGAAACAATTCAAAATTCGGTGTACTGACACTGCCCAGTCCTATCAAAGGCGCAATGGCGAGAATGACAAAGACGAGACGAACCAGAACTTCTGATGTCCTTGACCCACAGAGAACAAATACTGACGCCCCATCTGGAATCATATAGTAGGCCAATACATTTTTCATTTTCTATAAATCTTCTCGTCAAATGATGATAAGAGACTTAATTGGAAACTTTGAAACGAGGACAATGTCCTGCTTTGTTTCTTTGATGAACTTCCAAGAAAAAGCTGAACATTACTATAAGAACCTGAAAACGATAATGTTTCCTCATCATTCCAATTTTCTCTCATTCATGAAGACACATCTTCAGTAAAGTTTATTAGACAGTTTCGTTTGAAATTATTATTATTAGGTATACCCAAAGAGTGTTCTAACACTAGGATGGGTACTTGTCTATATGACAGTGATTCTTTAATGCTTATGTGGAATGATGTAGTCAATGGCTTGGAGTAGGAATTCAGCTGTTGCAGGCAGGTGTCCATCTTCCACTCCTCCGAACATAGATAAGATCTGTAATAGGCAAGAATATAAGTTGATAAAACTATGATAACAACCTTGCTCTGAACGGTTGAGGCTAAGTTCAGGAAAGTGTGTGTAAGGGAAGAAGCCTTAATGACGTTGTGGCAGGAAGCGTAGATGTTGTTTACAAAGAGATCGCCTGTAGCTGTCATAGGAGCAAAGACTCCAGTTTCACGAACAACGGATTTCTTGACAACTGGCACAATGTTCAATGCTTCAAACAGTATCTTTAAACTTTGTTAAGTTGTTTCAAACTGACCTTGTCCTTCTACTACAGAAGACTCATAAAGGCAGTCTCCTACATTAACGTCTTCAGCATAAACCATCTTGCTGTTGGTTGTGTCATTACAAGAAGTCTGAATTCATTCTTAGTTTGATGATCTCCATATAGTTATTAACCTTATAGATGAAATGTTGGGGGGTCAACTTCAAGAGATTTCCTGGAGTCTCAAGCTTGATGAAAGAAGCTTCAACATCCAGTAAACGATGCATGAACGAGAGAACAGGAGTGAAAGTGAACTAAAAAGTTTTTTTAAAGTATTGTTTGTTCTAGTAATCTTTAATGAATTTACTTCATTAGCATTAGAAGTGAGAACAAGATCTCCAATCTCGAGTTGATCCATTCGCTTTGTACCGGCTGGAGTATCAACAAGAGTGTCAGCGGTGAAACAAGCCGGAATTCCAGAAGCAACGGGGTAGTAATAACCAGCTTCAGTTACAGGTACAACTTGTTCTCCAACTTGAACAAATTGTTCTTGTTGAGGCTCATCTTGTGGAGGTGGTGGTTGAGCATAAGTATCTTGCTGAATATGGTTTGTCTCGTAGGCCCCAGGACTGATTGGAGCAAGTCCTTGGCTTTGGGTGTTGTCATTTACGGGTAGAGTTTGTTGAGTTTGTTGAACTTGATGATGTTGAACTTCTCCAACCTTGTCCAAAATTCTGCTGATTTCATTTGAGGCATCAAGATTTACTAAACTTCGATGATATCAATATAAACCTGTATGACCCTTACCGTCATTGAAGATCTCTGGTGGGTCTGGAAGACAGTTCATACGAGTGACAGTCAACTCATAAGCGATTCTTAAAAATGAATATTATGATTTTCAAAGATATCTGCTTGAAAGAAGAATTTGAAAACTTACGATCCATCTTCTGTTTCTACTTTTTTGACATTTGAGATAAGATCAAAGCCCGTTTGACGTCCATCTCGGAGAACTTCTCCTAAAATAGTTTTGATGACTCTATCAATCAAAAAAAACTTTCGATATGTTCAATTTCAACTATCGCTTGATTAATTTCATAATGAAATGATAAGAATCCTACTAACCTCCTGAATACACCTCTCCAGCGTGTACGATTGGTCTTCCAACTTCGGCTCCAAATCGTAGACCACTGTAGTGACAGCATTGCAAGCTCAAGCTTCAAAATCGAACATGTTAAAACAAGATAATGATAAATTGTAAAATGAACCTTCCATCTGGCTTAGAGAGAAAACCTCCGACCCAGGTGAGTGGATTCACACAGCTTTGTGAATCAAATCCTGAAGGGCAATCAGCAATTTGAGATGGAGCATCACTATAACGAGAGCGACTTCTGCCGACATCTCCATCTCTGATAAATCCGTCTTCACCATCTGGGCCAACCTATAGTGAAGAGATAAGTTTTGTTATGAAGAGGTGACTCGGTTATTGTGAAGCAAAATCTTACATTGAACTTAGTGTCATGGAGCACATTCCGACCACCATTCTGAGCTCCAAAGCATGTTGGAGAACCACATCCAAGAACAGGTGTTCCAGATGGTAAAACCTGGGCGTAAAACGTTAAAAAAACAAAGAGAACGAGTTAAGCACCTCAAAGCGGAATGGAATAGAGGAGCCACCACATGTAGCAGCGGAGGCTAATTGAGAAGTAGCGAGAAGAAGAACTCCAAGCTTCCACATTGTCTTCTATAAGTTAAAATGAAACTAAACGTAAAAAAGGAACGATCAAGTGAGTTGGTGTAAGGGAAGCTTATGGAAAGTGACTGATATCCGGATAAGATTAGGAATGGATGTAACAAATGAATATGGGAGGAGAAAGAAGGATTCGTCCTAGTTTTGAGGATTGCGAGAGCAACTGATAATCCGGTAAACGAGAGGATAGAGAGGGAAAGTATCCGAATCGTTATGTTTCTTATCAACTACTGAGACTAGTGAAAGGCTCTGAATGGGTAAAAGAGAAATTAGAGAAACAGATGAGCCTGTATCAAAAAGATAAATTTGACTTTTCCCAGATGAAACAATGAGGTGACAGAAACTGGTTGAAAGCCAGGTCGGGTATGAAGATGGCGCTTGACCCGATGAGACTTATCACATATGTCAAGCTCTTTTCAAATCATTTTATTCCGTGAAAATGGAAATCTGAACAAAAGCGAAATGCATGTCAACCGGAGAGATTCTTGGATGAATCGTATTCCATTGCAAGAGAATCGCTCAGTCATGCGTGCTTGATCCCTTGTTTCATCCAATCATTTTATGGTTATCAACATCATATCCAATATTACAACACTTATTATCACATTTCCTTTTCTATGATTTGCTTTCTGCAAGTCCTAATTCCAGAGAAAGTATGAAATGATCAAACATGCACGATTACAATGTTGCCCTTATACTAGTACACGATTGGCTTCTCCCCCTAAAGCTCATCAAGAATAACTCTTTTGGACAATTATGAAGTTACAAAGATCGAGTGAAGAAGATATGTAAGTAGTAACAAGCTTCTTGTTTTGTTGATTTTGTTTGTTTCTGTGTGTGCCCATCGCCTGAACCACCAAGACACTGGGTTCCACTTGGCTCTTAGTTTCACGTGAGATCGCTGCGTGCTCGACTACTATACCACATTTCAGTTTCCATTTTAAAATAAAGTGAACATCGCTTTCCATATATCATTCCTCATTCTATTCTGTAGTTAGCGGTGGGCGAAATGCCTTGAGAGCTTTACTTATCTCATAACAGTTTGAGGAATCATTTCTCCCGATTTCTCTCAGTTGACTAATTGGATTGGAAGACGGTGAAAGAAAAAAATGAAAAATGTGACCTGAATGGACAGTACCGAGACATCAATAGAAATCATTTTATTGTATTCTAACTATAACTATCCATTTATGGTATGGAGAAAGAGTTCTTAAATAAATAGAAGTAGTTATTTAAATGAGAAATATGAAATAGATTATAAGGTAGATAATGAAAAGAAGAGGGAAAAGAATTCGAGATACGATGTCCAATCCATTATGTCTACGGAAGGATACACAGTTTGTGTCATAAACAACTTCTGATACCTGAAAACATGACAATGATTGAACACAACACATAGAGTACACAGAGATTACTTGTCTATCATTTCCGATTGGATGATCTTCTGGATGACCAACAGAAGCTAAACGAACTGTTCGTCGACCTCCACAACAAATTACGAAAAAGTATTCAACCTTAATATTATTTCATGTTTGTTTGCTTTTGGCACTCACAAATGATAAGAAGGTGAGAATCAAGCAGAAGCTATACCAACAGCTGACTGAGGGAGTGGAGTTTACAACATCTGATCGGAAAATCTAAAGCAATCATAATGTGATTGGGCGTGTTGAATTGTAAACTAATGAAAGAGAGTTTTGCTCATAAAACTTACGAAGAGAACAGCAAATATCATGAAAGGTAGAGCAGCTGATGCCGTTCGAGGAACAGACCAACTTCCGTGAACCCAGAAATGAAGCCATGAGGCAATAACCTGTCATTAAAACATGTAAGGAGGAACAATATGAGATTTTACAAGGAAGATAGATGGTAAGAACCAGGTGCAGAGTGATCCGAAAACACTTCCGGAGAACGTTATAGTGACATCGATGCAAGAGAAGGTACCTAAAGAACTAAGTGAGTTTGAATTGCATGCTATCGTTTACCAATGGAATAGTTTCCACTACAATCTTCAGCTGAAGCTTCCTCAAACAGTATTGGGCCTACTAGAAGGTCAGATGACACCTTAAATCATTTTTTCATAACACAGAATATAATGTATAAATTACTTCAACAGGGTTGACAAGTGGAGGAGAGTTAGCCCACATGTAGATGACATCTTCAGCAGGATATTTATCTAAGAAAATGCATGATTGAAAGAAAAGCTTATTGGAAGTTAAGCTTACAACTGGCGAGTCTGAGATTGATGGTCCGAGTGTTTAAGAATGGGAAAGAAGCTCCATGACCGATGGGAACACTGACAGTTCTCCTGTTAAAGTATTTCCTTATTCAAATGTTTCGATAAAGTAATGAGGGAAGTTGACTCTCGTTTGAAAGAAAACATTAGCCAAGTCATTACAACGAGTTCGTTGCAACAGCCGACTTTACAAAATCTCTGTTGAAGTCAAAAGCAAAGCAAACCTTAAGAAATGAAACGCTAAGGCACATGCAAACTAGTCTCTTTCAGATTCATTCGAGGACGGAGGAAACTCACTGTTCGGATGATCGAATGTATCCGGATGGTTCGATAACTACACTTTGCAAAGAAGGATTCTTTTCGGCTTCTCGGCCACTTGTGAAGTAAGTATCTGGTTTCCAAATCTTCTGATTGGCTGGTAGAGAAACCTAAATTGATGAGAAATGAGGTTTGTGGTATCCTATGCTCACTTCATCTATTCCTTCACGTTGATCAACAGGGTATTGTAAACGGCTATCTTCCCATTGTTGGCGAAGGTACATATCAACTTCCTTGAAGAGAATTTGAATCATAGGGTGAGGAGAATGAAAACTCACAGCTTGATCTCCCTGCCATTTGATGCGATTGATGAAAACATTGGTTATAACAAGAATAGCTGAGTGATCAGCCGAGTCTATAAGTTAGCTAATGAACATATGATGTGGTACAGTAGAGTATAGGGAAGAATCTTCCTGATAGACACACACATACACACACTTGCACAGTGGTTAAGAGAGCACTATGTGAGATGATGCGGATGGATCAGTTTTGTTAGCAACTAATAGATATGTACATATATGAATTGAGAGAGGTTCATAAATAAACTAAATCGAAAGGTTAATAGTGTTATGGACCTTTGTAACAGAGAATGAATGGAACTTGTCCAACACAACCTCGGACTGGCGGGCGTGAGTGAGCATCGTATTCTGACAATATCCTGCTGACCAATTGACTTTCTGTACTCAATTTGCGTGACCGAAAGATTTTATGAGAATTGGCAGATATGCTGAACAGATATGTTACATAAATATTATAAATGTTATGACTACCCATTAATGAATACTGAAAAAACTAGAAGGCTAAGAATAAGACGACGCATTTCTACGAACTGCCAGAGTAATGCAAAATAATGAAGAAAAGGCTGACAGCTGCCAAGCTTTTTCTTCTTCTTCTGCCATTCGTTCCGTAGTTATCGTTTGTATCATGATGAAGGTAAGAAAAAGAAAAAAGAGAAAAAGGGAAAGAAGATGAGAGAGAGGCTGGAGTAGAAGATATCTTCTCAAGATGATAGTAAGAGAACAGCTAGTGAATGATAATGCTGAGCTCTTAATGATTTGAATGATTGACTATCCTCTCAATGTCCTAATCAGTTCTCCTTATTCAGAATGTTTTTTAAGGAGCATTGCGAGCTATGCAAACACGTCCTGAATATCAAGTTATACTAATCGTGAAAAACAGCTCCAGATGTGAGACAGAGAAGGAAAGAGAAGAAGAGAGACGTCTCGAAACTTCTACTTTCATTTCTCATTTCAATCCAAACTCTACTTTTCTAAAATTGGCTGTGCTCTTTGTGAGTTTTATGAGCAGTACTCCTTTTCATTGGTCCACAGTTCAACGAGCCCAATCAATTTATCACTGTCTAAGGTTTTCCGATCATATTTCCATCCACAGCTATTTCCGGTTTGAGAACATTCGCGAAGAGTACAAAATGGTTTGTAGTTGATATGGTTTTATTTGTGCAAAAAAATACAATAAAAGAAAAACAATTATTAAGAAGTGTACATCTTTCCTCATAACATTAGGAAGTCATCTCAAGCTTTCATAAATATTTTTGTTCATAGATGTTCTTTTATAACAATAGACCCATAAGAGATACTAAAACGAAATAAGAAAGTATTCTGTTTGAGCTTTTCGTTGAGCTTTCATAAGAAGAAGTAGTAGTAGCTTTTTTGGTAGCTGCTTTAGTTGAAGCTTTATTTGTGGGTACGGTAGTAGGGACTGTCGGCACAGTGCATGGTGGGGCAGTGGAAGGTGACACAGTTGTTGATACCGTAGTAGGCGGAGCCGCCGTAGTTTTGGTTGTTTTCAATGGAGCAATCTGGAACAGAAAAACCGTTTTCAAACAAGCTTTTCTAGTTTTCTAACCTTAGGTTGAGAATTAACGAAGGATGTTGAACTGTAGTCTACAGCTGAATTAGAGTCAAACATAAAGTTAGTGATCATTTGTAAGGAAACCCCGGGACGATCGTTGGGAACGAAGTGACCTGCTCCCTGAAATATGGAATTGTGAGTGTAGGGATCAAACCATTAGATGCTCTTTCTCTCTTTCGCAGACTCAACAAACCTTCACTGTGAGCACATCAATGCTTACGGAACCAGCATTTTGGAGGACAACATAGTTCTGATTGTAACCGGCAATAGAGCTTCCGAAGAACCAAGGTTTTCTTTGAGACGATGTTAAGTTGTTGTCTCTAGCTACATCTTGAATGAACCAGGAATCTCCAAGATAGTTGCAGACCGTATCAACATCTCCGTTATAAATTAAAAATCGGAAGCTACTCTTCAAAGGATAAGTCTCTTAGAAGGCTATGAAATGAAAGATCTCACTTGGCTTTTCTGTATAACATAGTTGAAAAAGTCATTTGTTGTGGCATAAGTTAAATTGTATAAATCATACATTGGGTCACTGAAAACAAGCTTAAAGCCATTTGATAAGCTCGAACATACTTGCAACCCTTCCATGATTGGTTCTGTTTCTTCCAAGCGTCTTCAATATGGAGAGCAGCCTGTAATAATATTTTCCAGTTGTAAACCAATTACCGCTCAATTGAGAATAACTTCTCATAGGAAATAGGAAATGTGAACACTGACTTGAACTTCTGGTCTATTCAGATAGATTCTGATGGCTGAGTCACTCCAACAGGGATATCCAAACTGTGGATCAGTGGAATCGTAATTGAAAACTTTCTAAATATGAATTAGGAGTGATGAAGAGTCAAGTCTCATACAGCTGTATTCTTGTCGAAACCTGTGAAACCGCCATAGTCAAACTTCATGCCAGTTTTGGATACAGCTGTCAAGGAATAACAGTCTTGATAGTAATTGTACTGATCAAAGAAGATGTCAGATGATGCTCTATGACATAGTACATAGCAGTAGTGGATAAACTAGAATACTCACGGTGAATCAGTTATGAGTTGATCTATGATTCTTCCACACTCTGTAGAATTATCAGCTACGTAGTCCATTCCATTTGTTGTTTTCATGAATTTGGTATAATCGTACTTATCATGATCAGTCAAACCATCAGTTTGACAAACTTGTTTGGCTCTTGCCCATTCGCTTAAAAAACAAAAGTTCTTCTGAGGTCTTTGAGAGCAACAGCAGCAGCTCTCAACTCATTCGCCAAAATGTTTCAATTTTCAAACATTTCAAAGATAATTGTCTAGATAAGAATCAAAAAAACAAGTTACTCTTGAGAGATTCGGGCGTGATAAGCTCCCCATAGAACCAATGAATTCATCAGATACTTGACGTGCATGAAACCATTTCCAATGGCAGCTCCTCGGAAATTTTGATTAGGAAAAGTTTTGTCGTTGACTCCATCGACAATCAGTTTGGAAAGGGTGGGGATGTATATTCCTGCATATGATTCACCCGATAAGAACAATGGATTCTTCTGTAAATCAGGGCGAACACTGAAAAAGCAAAAATAGAGAGATAGATAGAGGGAGAGAGATAGAGAGAGAATGAGAGTGAGGTGAAAGAGATATTGAAAGCAGTAGCAGTAAAAAACAATCAAAAGAACAAATTAAATATAATTGCAAATTACTTTTTGAAGAAATCTATGAGGGCATTATAATTCTGGAGAGCAGTCTGATCATCGTTGGCATTTGTGTAATTGGCTGTAGTATTATCATAGGAGAAGCCAACACCAATTGGAGATTCTATAGCTAGTACATTGGCTTTCTACAAACATTGATTAATGAAGGATTTGGAAGTTAACACATACTTTGTTCCATGCATAAACATTTTCAAATAACGTTTGTCCATCATAATTAACATAGTATGGACCGAGTTCTCCTAAAAGACCTGAGAATGATGAGCAACCTGGTCCTCCATTAAGCCACAGAAGGACAGGATCGTTTACTGGATCGGATTGTGACTCTGTCAAACTAATATATCTAACTGATAACACATAACTAAGATGTTACACGTACACATAATGCATTCGCCACGATCCATTATTTCCCGCGTTTAAATATCCGGAATAGAAATCAAAATTTGTGTTAAATATTAATCCGGGCAAGTTCGTTACTAAATCATCATCACGTCGAGATGAATAAACTAATCCCAATATGGAGAGGAGTATGAGTTTCATCCTAGAAATGCTCAGTCTTGTATGCTGTTTACAAGAGAGAGAGTTATAACTATGAGCAGAGTAAAAGGTTATGAAGTAACAAGCACATACATATGTATAAGAGAAGACAAAAAACGGATTCAAGAAGAGGAACATCTTGACGGAATGCTAAAGGTCTTCTGATGTAATAGAAAATGATATTAAATGATATTAAAATGGTATTTATAGTCAGTTTATGATTGAAATATAGCGAGATAAGGCTTTCTATAAACTATTCCAATTACTTCATGTAAAGAGATCACTCTGACTAACAACTTTCAAAGAAACATCAAAGAGTATGCCGACACTCTGTGAAAATTCTTTTTTTCCAATATAATTTTACCTCAACATCATATCAGTGTACATGAGTGTAGAGAGGTAGATAATGAAACGTATGTGTGTTCCTTCTCTCATAGTTCTTCATCACAAACATAGCCATGATCTTGTGTGCCATCGGATTTCATGCATGGAACCTGTTTTTCTATTTTTTTTATCCAGAAAGTTTTATTGATCAAAATATGGACAAAGGGTTATGAAGAGGATGTGCGATGTGCAGAGAGAGAGAGAGAGAGTGAGAGAGGGAATGAGATGAGGTTGACAGTTTTCCAAAATATAATAATCATTCATATAGATATATATGGACAAATAATATTGAATTAATCACATAGTTAACAATCAATAACTATATTGTTAGTGTTGTATACTATTACGTCTTTCACTTATCTTCGAATATCTATCGAATCCAACTTTCATCTCATCCGTTATATAAGCTAATAAGATTCTCCAAGCTTTCATTGTATCTTGATTATATTTAACTGATTCCTATAATTATATAAATCAATACTATATGTATAGTTATATGATCTACTTGAGATCCAATCACCGAAACTGCTATTTCCCCGAAATTTTCTATCATGGCACCGGTGAAGCCGCTTTCGCGCATCTATAATAAATTTGCATAATTAATTGTAAAAATAGAGAAATTTGCATATTAATTGATGATATGAGAAAGATGAATGTTCACGTCTTCCACGTGCATCTTACGTAAGATGCACGTGGAAGCTGTAATTGACGTGGTATACTACGTGAAGAGAGATAAAAGATGAAAGCTGACGCAATGGAACGGTTGATACGTACTTGAGCATGTTTTTCTCCGTATAGTCGTAACATAGGCAGTTGACTGTCCATATTATCGACGCAGTTGATAATTCTATGATATAGTTAGCATAATTAGGTATGATTTGGATATATGTAATTACTTATCAAATAGATCAACTAAACATTTGCAATGATCATGCTCTGTCTTGACAATTGGAGGTGATGATCTCTCTCTTGATAATGAATTAACAAATGCAGTAGTTAGGAAGATTGATCTGTCAAATTATATGATATAGTTAGATTATATATGATTATTCAATTATAACCTACCGTATATCTGATGATTTCATTTCTAAGCGACGAAAGACTTGTTCCATAATTTTCAGAAATGTACCGCCCGAGTTGAGTTGAGCAAAACTGGCCTTAAACGACAGATGATTGCATATCATGGGAGATAGAGAAAGCTCTTGAACCTTCAAATACTTACTTTGAGCAATTTAATCTGTTTAGGCGTCAGGGAAACAAAAACGGGTCGACGAGGTACAACATAGGCTGAGGTTGAGGCTGTTGAGGTGCTAGCTGTCTCTCTGGGTGTTACATTAGTTTCTGATAGTGAGATTTGTCGATGAAGACACTGTCTGAAACATTGTCATGATAGGATGTTGAGAGGTAAGGAGATTAGAGGTAAAGAGGAGTAACGATTACCCAGGTACATCCAATGCATCCATCTTGACCATTTGTGGCTTACGTGTGCATTCATCACTCTTCCATATTCTATTGAGCATAGACATCATGGAATCACGTCGTCTGTAATAGATGAAACTTCATAGATAACAAACAATAGTTAAAGCATTTATAAATATATTTATATTTTATGAAAGGAAATGAGATGCAGAAGATGAAGAAGAAGATGGAAAGAGTTGTAAGAAGAAACGGAAATTCTATTTCTACTAATAGCAATGTGTTGATAAAGCGAAAGGAAATGCTGGAAAAAGTTCCAATAAGATCAAAATACTTGTGTTAAGCGACCAACATAGAGGTTGAAAAGCCAAAAGAGAAAAGGGAAAGATGATGAGAGATAATGCATTACAGAGAGATAACAGAGAGTCATATGAGAATATGTGTTAAAGTTTCTTAAGCTACACCTACACGGCTTGTTTTGCACACTTTTGGGAAAATATTTGATTGGAAAGCTTACAAGACGACAAAAAAAGCTGATAATGTCTAAGGAAAAGCTACTTTCCATTTATGGTCATGATAAATAGAACGTCTAACTCTCTTTTTAAGTTTATGATTTTGATGGACAAGACAAGGCAAGAGAGAGAGAGAGAGATGAGAGAGATGAGAGAGAGAGAGATAGAGGACCATCTCAGAGGAAAGCTTTTAAGAAGTTTTCAGATGGGAAAATGGAAAAAGTAATTTGTAAACGTTTTTTTCTTTTATTCTTAACATCAGACAATTTTGGATGAAAATAATATTTATATGAAAGAGAGAGAGAGCGAGAGCTTTTGGATTGAAAAAAAGTGAAAAAACAAACCCTGTACGAGGACGCGGAGATGTACTACGACTGTGCTCGAACAAATTTCCATTCAGTAACGAAACTTTGAGCTGCAACCAAAAATTACTGAAGAATACATTGACAGATCGAATTATAGGCCAAAACGGTAGACATTCGTGGCACCACATGAGAGTAGCGTTAGGGATGAAGCTTGTACGTCTTCTCTTCGTCTTCTTCTTCTTCTTAGATGATTCCAACCCACTTTAAATGGCAAAGACAAGTCATTCACAATCTCTGCCACCCTCTCTCTCTTATTCTCTCTCTTTATGGGATATATAGTAAAGAGAGAGTGAGAGAAAGCTGAAATGTAAGGAAGAAAGAGGAGATTGGGAAGAGATGTTATAAGCCATCACTCCTCCTTCTTTTCCACCCACTTCGATAGTCAAATCATCACATGGGGCAAATTCATTCAGTCTCTCTCACTCTCTCCCTTCCTCTCTATTACTCTCTCTCTTTGTTCTCTTTTGTCCTTGTGAGGCTATCATTGAGATTTCATGTTTTTCCGTTTTTTCCTTCAATCTCTTAAGACAAACACGCACAAAAGGTTTTTTTGCTTGATGTCCTGCTAGAAATATCCCATTTCCGGTCAGCAGATTCCCTTCAATTTCAGATTTTCAAACAAAATTGACGTGTCAAAATTGTTTGAAAAGAGAGAAAATGAGAAAATATGTATATCATGTGATTTATGTTTGACCATCTAGTGCTTAAAACAACTGAAGGGAAGAAGAGGAAGACGAAGAAGCTATGAAGTCAGCTAGCTCAATATCTTCTGAGAATTTCATTTATAGCATCGGAAGTATCAAAGCACGAGCCATTTATGGTAAATCAAATATTTCATTATTTGGAAATCATAAAAAAAAAGAAAAGAAAATGAAAAAAGATGTGAACTCACAGTCGATTGCTCAGAATTTCGGATGTTGGAGCTTTCGGCTCGTCGTCGGTGTTCAATTTCAACAGGACACATAACGGCAGATGCACTGGCCTTATGAATGGCTACCTTTAGAAGTAAAAGATATTTAGAAGATGAATAATATGAGAATTGAAGTTACTGTAGGAATGGGCGTCATTCTTTTGGGCAAATGAAGCGTTGATGGACGTTTTCGTTGTAGATCTCGATGACGCTGTCTATCAACGGACGATGAAGTCACCAATGTACTGCAACACAGACACAGATATAGATGGATATGAAGAAGAAAATGTTTTTTTTCCGCTTTTTCGTCTTTTTTTTTTTGGAGAACAGCAGCAGAACAAAAGAAAAAAATATTTTCAATCACACGCACAGACACATTACGTATTATTCCATTCCATCAAATCATTAATTATTCATTTGAATTGTTTTTTTCCAAAAATTATGATTTTCATTGGCTTCTCATACTCACAGAACTTGACTAATCCAATGCATTTCCGAGTATTTTCATATTCTTCTGCCATTTCTCTTTAATTAGCTTCTAACTGTCGCTTCAGGACCATCTTATTTGAAAAATTATTCATCAACTTCCGTCCCGAATGCAAGAGAGAAGCGAGAACTGCCAGTCGCGAAACAAACAATCAGAACAACGCAGCAAAACGAAAATGCTCGCCAACACCATCACCACCACGTTTTTATTTTTTAAATTCTCCTTATCAGATGAGAGGTAAATGAATTCATTGTTATCTTAATTGGAATGGTGATGCTACTTGAGAGAGAAACAGACAGATGAGTGATGAGAAAAGAAAAAATGAGTTTGGATTGAGCGGAGAGAGAATGGGGGGGAGAAGAGTGATGAAGGAAATCTATCAAGTACGATCCTTCTGAATACTTCATGGGAATGTTATTCATTTAATATCTCTCTCTATCTTTCCCTCCCTCCCTCTCTCCCTCTCCCTCTATCTCTCTCTCATTACTTTTTTGTTTCTTCGAAGACTCTCATTCGTTGAAATAAGCTTAATAGATATCTTCTCTCCATCTTTGTACTTGACATAAACGTTCTGCTTTTGACAATATCTCAAGTATGAAAAGCTTAAGAAAGATTTCTGTCATCACAGAATAGCTTTTGTTATTTCGTTACTTTTATTATAAAAATGTAAATTTTGGTCATTAAATCTTATTGAAAACACGAAGCTTTTTCCTGCTGCTTACTCTCTCCCTCTCTACCTTCATCTTTCTCTCTCTCTCTTCATCTCTCTCTCTCCCTTTTCAGCAACCAAAAACATGCCTGAGGCAATAAACGACAAAAAGCTGAGACTACATTAACATATATTTTTAGAGCAAAATAATAATAAATAAACACTAATTATATGTTTGTTACTATCTTAACGATGTGTCTGACACACACTGTGTGCACGTCTTTGCCCTCACTCACACACGCACATGCACACCAAGATTATCGATTGATTGACTGATTGAATGAATTTACCTGAATTGATCTACGGCCATCATTTCTGAGAGAGGGAATTTGACTTGTTGAGAAGGAAAAAAAAGGAAAAAAGCTAGAAAATACAACAAAAATTAGAAAACTGACTAACGATGGCTGAGAAAAGAAGGAAAAAAAGAAAAAAAAAAAGAATTTTAAACAAGAAAATAAGGAAAATGAGAAGAACAAGGAGGGGGACAAGGAACAGTTAGGAACGGCTGTGTGACACTTATACTCTCGCAGTCTCGTTCTCTTTCACATAAATAAAGGTAAAGAGGAACTTAGAGAGCGGAAAGAACTTTAAACCTTAATAGTTGAAGCTGAACAAGAAGCTGAGAAAGAAGACAAAGAAGAAGAGGCAAATGAAGGAATATGAAGCGTATTAAGCTAATTTTGGTTATTCGAACGTTCGTTCATCCAGTGTTTTGTCTTCGTTTTAGAGCTTACAAGTGAATGTAGAGAGAGAGAGAGAGAGACAGAGAGACAGAGAGAGAGGGAATTCTCTTTCAACACAACATTCAGATGATTGTCGTCAAAAGCTTTCAACCAAAATATGGGTTATATATTATATTATAGTTTATAATATAGTAATTACTTAATAAGAAGAAAACGATCATTTCTAATAATAATTATTCTCAATATTCAAATAGAGATTTCTATTTTTGAAACTGTTTTCAAACCAAAATCTCTCATATTACAATGGTGTGTTCACATCACACACTCACACACACACTCACACACACACTCATATAGAGACGCATCTCTCTCTCCTCTCTCTCTCATACGTCTTTCATGTCATCGTTTCCATGCATTTCTTATCATCACGTGAATTACGTGAAATTTGAATACGTCGAGTGTTCTCACGTGCTAACAGATGTTTGAAATTCTAATTTCGTACAGATCGGTTGCATTCATTTCACTCTCTCCCTCTCTCTCTTTCTCCCTATTTCTCTTAATATCTATGTTGTGCTCTCTCATTTCCGTTTAAAGGTAAAGGTATCATTGGACATCTTTAGTTTATCCAAACTATGCATGAGAATGTTGTCGGAATAAGAAATGAATGAAATTCAATAAAAACCATTGAAAGAGCTGAAATATCCTCCTTAAAAACCTTTTAAAAAGTTGTTGTTTAATTAAATGAGGAGTAGAAAACAAAAAAAAAGAGAAAAAGGAGTGGATGAGAATGTATGAGAGAGAGAGAGAGAGAGAGCGAGAGAGACAGAAGGACAGGGAGAGGATGATTTCACAGGTTAAGTGACGGAAAGAAGCTTCATCATGATCTTCGAGCAGTGAAATTGTTCGGAAACGGAAATATTTTATTTATTTAAATTATTTAAATCTGTGTTGTCATGACGAAAATATTCAAAAAAGGGTAAAAAGGTGAGAGAAGAAGCAAGCTGAGGAGGCTGAGCTTAAAAAAGAAAGTTCGTGGGCTGATTTACATAATTCATGCAAAGATGTTATAGCCATTATGAGTTACAACAGCATGTTCGGTTATCTTGTTGTGTGTAAGAGAAGTAATTGAATGACTCAAAACAGTCTTGGCAAAGAACGAAACATCATTTTCAAACAATGAAGCATATCATATATGGTGTCTTAAGTTGAGAGCTAGATAGTGGTACTACTAAGGAATGTTATGCAGATAGAGCTTCTAAGGACAGTCTTCAACGAATGCTCGATCTATAGCGTTTTAAAAGGCATTTGATAGATAAAGAAGAAGAAGAAGGTGGAGGCTTGAGTAGACTATTTTCTTTTTCGAAAGCAGATATCATAAATAAGAAGCAAGAGAGGGAGGGAGGGAAGGAGGGAGGGAGGGAGAGAGAGAGAGTGGATGGTATATTGAAATTCATAAAAAATATTATTTTAAATGAAGAGAGAGATGAAGATGAAATGAACAAAAAAGAGGCCAAGATCTTCAAAAGGCAATCTGACATAAGCTTTAATAAGCATAATCGTCCAACTTTCGAATCTTTATTTGGAAGTCTGAAAGTGATTCTCGGTCTCGCTGCTAAGACCGCACATATCTCCTCATCATTAGAAGCGGCTTATGACCTTTTCCATCTATATGAGCAAAAATTGAAAAAAAAAGTTTTTTAGAGAACAACTAAGCTGAAAGCTGACTAGGCTTCTGGTTCAGCAAGAAGGCCTCATATGGCAAAGAACGAAAGCTATAAGATGAAACTGTTCAAAATAAAAGTTCCTGATGAAGCTGAATTTGGAAGATTAAGTAGCTGACGAAGAAGCTACTAACGTCAGATTCCTTTGGTTTTTTTTGTTCAAATTCATAGAAACGGAAGATAATTTCAGTTCAATTGAATTGTCTCTCTCATCGGTCACGGTGGTCTCTTCGTCTTCATACATGTCCGTGCCATGAACTGAAGTCCAGATGTCAGAATATTTCAAAAATAATTAAAGTACATGAATTCTAGTGACATTTACAATAAAGTTTTACACACCAACAAACAAAAAAAAAACTTTTTAAACGACACCGTCAAGACGATTTGAATGGATAACATCAGATGAATGTTCATCGTTGTTGTGTCTCAGCCATTCTTATTTCATTGGATGTGCTCTCGTAAGAATGGAATTCCTGCAACAGGCAGTCCTCCCCCCCTCCTTCCTTATTGCAGAAAAACAGTTCGAGGTTAGCCAAGTTGAATGTAACAAGTCCTTCCATCTTAGCTAATACTGACTCATGATGAGAGCAATAGAAGAAGACGATGGCAATGAAAGATCATGTAGTCATATAGCTCAAAAGGAAAAAATAACTTTCCCCTTTTTAGCTTATTTTTGTATAATAGTTTACAAAACGTATGAAAATGGCTGTGAAACATGAGAATGGCTTTCGATCAGATGGTCGTCGTCGTCGTCGTCGTTGCTCTTTTCTTTTTGCAGTTTTTTTTCTGCTTCTGCAACACACACACACAAGATAGTCCGTCCTTCTGACAACGTTTTTGTTAAAGAAAAACAAGAAGTCTCTCTCATGAAATTATGGTTTAACTATCAAAAAAGTTGATGAGTAACATCGTTAAAGATGCATAAATATGCCCAAATATATCAAAAATGAATGAAAATTTACAAAAAAAATGAAAATTTGATATAAAAAACGATGAGAATAGAGTGAGATGTTTGGAAAAGGCTATAGGAGGATGACTATGAAGACAACCAAATACGAATAATCTTAACGGCAGAACAACAAATAAACTTCAAAACGAAATGATCGAAATAGAGAGGGAGGGAGGTAGAGAGATAGAGAGAGAGAGAAAGAGAGACGGAGCATAGAAGAGTTTTTCAAAAATTATTTTTTAAAAATTTTGAGCAGGAAGTGGATAAAACTTAAGGTTAGACCTTTTGCTGTCTCTAATCCTCTCTTTTTGCCATTACCTCTCATTGCCTGATCAAACTCCGTACAAATACGTGACTGTTTGAGCCTCTTAAATGGTGGGAACACTTCAGAAAAGCAATTTTTCAATATTTAAATGGAAAAGTTCATAACTCAAATGGACATTTATGGTTTTGTCATTTTCCGCTCAGATGGTTCACGTTGAGAGAACATTAGCGTTCACATCGAAGATTCATTCAATTTAATTGTATCGAAGTATGAAATAGAATAATGAAAAGCAACCGTTCCTCAATCAAATAAGATTTTAAATAGGAACGTGAGAGAAGATTTGACGTGAATTACGTGAATATGCAAATGCCAACGACTTTAATTTATGCAAATTCCACTGAGAATCTGTGACTCAACTTATTTTGATGTAAATAACGGATTAAAAAAATAATTTTCATCGTCTTCTGAGTTATTGGTTAGAAAAAGCGATTTGTTGTCTATTGGTTTGTTTACAATACAAAAATGAAGTTTGAATGATATGAAGGTGGTATGGGGTTGGTAGGGGCGGGAGTTACGCAATACGTTATTCACTCATTTAGCGAAACAGTTGCCAATCGTTCATATCTCCGCTCTAACGGGATCGTCATAGGACCATATATTTGATAATTTGCAAACAACCTTCTCCATCTTCGTCTACATTTCATCATTTTTCTTTTTTTTCGTCTTTCTGATCAGTTCTTTTTTGAAAATGGCAATTTGGATGGAAGCGGAAGAGGAGAGAAGAGAGAGAGAAGATTTGAGAGATGAAATTCACAAGATTCCTTATGAGCAAAATCATCAAATGACGACATCAATGGAAATAGCTGGAAATAAGCTTGAAGTGAATCAGTTAATGCAAGCTTTGTATGAATGCATAGCTTTTAGATGTTGCTCACATGGTGGCCAAGCTGACTGACTTAAAGCATATCCAAGCTTATGCACTTATTTGTCGTCAGTTGCATCGCTTTTTTTTCATTTGTCTCACCACGTCGATTTATGTCAGATGTCGACATGGTGAGAAATCCAATAAGCTCACAATCATTATTAACTCTCTCTCTCATTCTCTCTCTCTCTCCCCCCCCCCAACCTGTTTATCTCTATCTCTTTATCATTATTTCCTTCAGCTTGTTGCTTTCCCTCTATCGTCAACGTGATATTCACAAATGAGCCTCCAATTGATAAAAAGCCTCCCTTTTCATAATTCTCGAAGATATTCATCTATTCTTCTGAGAAACAGCCAAGCAAATACATGGCATTCGTAACATTTTTTTGTTTTAAATACTGAGTGATGGCAGAAAGAGAAGTGAAAGCTTGTAAACCAACCTGAAGCTTCTTCTTATCTCAGTTTCAGCTTTCGTATTTGGTGGATATTCATATGATCTACAGTATGATAAATTTGTTTTATGTCCATATTCGGTGCTTAACTTAAAGCTCATCTGTAACGTATAAGAATGTGTAGACGTGAAGTTGAATATGAGAAAAAAAAAGAAAACGAAAAAAAGAGAGGTAGAAGGAGAGAAAGATTGAGAAGAGAGATAGACAGAGAGATTACAAGAGAAAATATGTATGACGAAGGCTTTCCTCGAACTGCACGAAAAAGATGCTGGAAGAAGCTTCGAAGAATGAAAGTAAGATGGAATGAGAGAAGACGACGACACAAAGACGCGGACAACAAGAGGAATATAAAATGCAAGCGATGAGAGGATAATAATCAACTCCTTTCGTATTTTCTTCACTTTGACATAGAGTTTGGAGATCAAAAGTAGTTAATTGGCTTCAGCTCAGTTATCCTCTTCGAAAGCTTCTTTATCGTTCTAATCTCTTGTTTTCATCTATCAACAATCAAGTCAATGTAATATACAAAGGAAATCATGAACAACTCTCATTGGAAGCTTCGAAAGACTTGAAACTGACGAAAAAAACTCTTTAATTGTTCAATTTGAAGGAAAAGAAAAACAGTTGAATGTCAGATTTGTCAATTCAACAGCTTATAATTAGCTTGTTGCATGCAGATTCTTAATTCAGTTTTCAAATTAAAAGAAAAGATATTTAGAGAAAAGCTTTCTGAAAAGACAAAAACTGTTTTTTTCCATTTCAGCTTTACAATTGTTGAAAAGGTATCCTCTCTCTCTCACTCGTCTGTCTTCTCTCCATCTCTCTCTCTCTCTCTCAGCTATATACCCCTCATATCTCTCTCTCTCTATATATATATTGTGCCTCTTTCAGCGATATGATTCTGGAAATGAGCAAAAATTGATGGAATTTAGTTGGAAAAAGAACAAAATGAAAATTATGGATGATTTTCAGTGTTTCAATCTAAAATTAATTCAGATGTTGATGTTTTAAAGAATAATTCGTTCAGCTGGATCTTGTCTTATTAGAAGGAAAAAAAGAGGAGGAAGAAGAAGAAGAAAAGATCCTACCAAATGCGAATGAGTCTTGTTTCCTCTGCTGGAAACTCTTAGACGGACGGACAGAAAGATGTTTCTCCATTATTATATTATTATATTTTCATTAAAACGGAAGAATATCAATGAATAAACCATTATATCCAAATGAAACTTGAATTCAAACACAAAATTATTGTTCAAAAGTATTTCATTTAACACAGATTAATTCAATCATATCATACTAGAGAGGGAGAGAGAGAGAGAGAGAGAGGAAGAAGGGATGTGATGACATAGAGAGAGGGAGATCCACACTGCTACCACATACCCAAACATTCTGAATATTTTCGAGCAAACTGCCAAAACTCTTCAAATACTTTCAAACTTTCCTAGTGAGAAACAGAATGAGAGATAAGTACGAGACAAGACCAACTTAATCGAACATTACTCTCAAAACCAGAAGAGCATAACCCCTCTGGCTATTACCTAACCTCAGCGTTGATCTTTTTAAACTTTCATTATCAATCTAACATCATCAATAGATGCTCTTCACATAAGACAGACTGTTTGCTGTGTATCGTCTAATACAATAGAAAAGAAAATGTGAAATCTATCAGCCTCGTTACTGGGTGTTGTATATAGTACAGGTGGAATATGGAAAAGAGGAAAACATGGAGGAGACGTTGATGAGATGTAGTGGAAGCGATGAACGTTTTAGCAAACGAATATATATAAAAACACTTTCTAAAAATATACATATTGATAGGAGAAATTTGTTAAGGAAAGAGAGGAGTCAAAGAGTTAAACGATGATATTCAACTGAAAAACCGAAACTTCTCAACGAGCTCCAAACTCTGAGTATTCTCAAAAAGTTCTCTAACTTTCAAAAAGGGGAATGGAGTGAGAGAGAGAGAGAGATAAGTAGATGAGACATGACTGAGTTAATCGAAAACTGCCCTCAAAGCCAGAAGAACACAAGACTCCAGCTAACACCTAATTGGAGGCATAGATCATTGATTCTACTTCATAAAAGCCATAAACTAGCAATCAAAATGTTTTTAGAAGCCTTCAGTTAAGACCGAATCATCATAATTTTTATGTCCGCCCGGTCGCAATAAACATCATTAGAACTTTTAGTCGTAATGATAGATACCATTGCGACAGACACCAACGCCACATGCAGCGTATGGCGTATGAGTGTAAGAACGAGAGATACGAACAAATGCGCCAGCAAGAGAGATTGGTAGAAAGCGCAGTGTACATAGCCAAGAGACTGTTTGAGAGAAGTAAGCGGAAACGATAACAATATTTGAAGGCTTTTCAACAAATTAGGTTAAAGAGGACATCATTTCCTCCTTAAACTACTCCCTTAAAGGACAATGAAAGTTAAAAACGCTTATGAAGGCGGTCGGTTATTGAATTAATTGGAACATCCGCAGTGCAACCGCCTTAGTCGTTTCCAGCAATGCAAATGAATAATTCGCGAAAACACGTGGAAAGTCACGTAAGCTCCTCACGTCAATTCTAATGTCATTATGAACTCATTGAAAGAGCTACACACGTTGATGGATACAGAGTGGATTAGAAATAAATAATTTATTTCCAAAATTTTTTAACTAGCCTTCAGTTAAGACCGAATCATCATAATTGTTATGTCCGCCCGGTCGCAATAAACATCATTAGAACTTTTAGTCGTAATGATAGTTATCATTGCGATACTGATACACGACGCCTGCAGCGTATGCCGTAGGAGTCACACCGAGTTTTCACGTTCTATGCTCTTATGAATGGTTTCGTCATATCACTACTGAGCATGAGTATCAGTTCTAAGTTCAATATTTCAATTTAGAAATTGTTCCCGATTTGAAGGAAGTGTTTTGAGATTCGAAATAGAAGGTAGCTCTTCTCACCCACGTGAGCGTGATCACTGTTCATATCTGATTGAAAAAAAGAACTTCATCGAATAGCTGACTCATTTGACTTATTGATTGTCAAATATGGCAAGCAGCCTGTTCCAGTATTGTAATGACTTGAAGATGTATGAAAAAGTCTTTTTTTATAATTGAAATGGAAACGTTATATATGGAAAGTGCTGTCTGTTTTCTCGAGGTAGAGATTGTGACCACCATCTTGACTGTTCCACTAGGAACATCATTGAACATGATTCCCTTTACATTGTCGTCTTTTTCAATTTTCCATATTATACTTACTGTTATATAGCGGCTTATGAAATAAGGAGCCGTTGGTCATTTTGAGAATTGTAGCAATTCATTTTCTAGTTTCCTTCCCTTCTTACACATATACAAGAGAGTGCGGGAACAAGAGATCGTTAGCCAGGTAGAAAAGTAGTAAAGAGATTGAAAGAGAGAACTAGATTTGCGAATAATGAGAGAAAAAGGAACATACTAGACTATTGGCTATACAGATAGACAGATTTTGGATCGTCAATTGAGGAGGGGTCAGACCTCACCTATTCCCCGCCCATTTTGTGATTCCCTCCAAACTTTCCAAATACCATTGAAATGACCCTTTGCTGCCTCTTCCCTAAACATTGACAGCTGGGTATTCCCATGAATTGGAAAACGTTTTTCTATATTACAAGTTCACCTTTTAACATTTTTCTCGTTTTCTGCGTCTTAACAAGCTTCACATGTTCAAGTGTTTGTTTGTTTGTTTATCTATGTTACTTGCTCCTGCCTCGCTTATAAGTATCGTCTAAGTACAACTAGTAACTGAAGTTTCAGATGAAGATGGTATCGTCTCTTCTCTTTTTCGTTTCTCTGTGTCTACTGCCTTACACCGGTCAGTTTTTATTTTCATTACAATCATCCATTGCTGCAAGAGTTTCTAGTGACAGAGAGGAGAATGAAGGAGGGGGGGTGACGAAGATGGAGAGTGAGGAAGAGAAATCAAAATATTTTTCAAACTTTCCCATCTTATCAAAATTATCATTTTTTCTCACCTTGGCCCTTCATCTATCTATCTATCTGGTTAATGAGGGCTGAATTTGATGACATCCTGTCCTCAATACGCAGACTAGCATGACGACCGTAATCTGTGGACGGCAAACAATATTTGAGAATAAAATGCTCTCAAATATGAATAAAAGAAAGTTTTTCGGGATTCCTCTTGCAACTACAAAGACATCTAAGTGTCACGGAAATCTTTTAGTCGGATTTCAACAATTTTCACATTCAAAACTTTCATTTTCAATTTGTGTGGATATTTAAGTTCGACTTGATTGTTCGCATCAGTTATGATCCATCGAAATATCTTCGACTTCAATGCTGAGCATGGATAATCCATCCAATCCTCTTCTGACTGTCCTAATATTATTCAAAGTTAGTTAAAGTTGTTTGAATTACTTTCTTCTCTAAGAATCTCATCTTCATTCCCATTCACTCTTCACCTTTCTCTTTCAAGTCCCAGATGAACACAAAAAAACGAATGTTAGTAGTTACAATACCATACAGTCATTTGTCTTTCCTCAAGAAATACGTAACAGGGACAAACATGTTCCGGTTTCTCCTAATTTTCTTCTAATGAATGCTTCCTCTTTTTCAGCTTCATCACTCTCCTGCTATGTATGTGCCACAGGTGATCTAGCTGAGTTCGGCGAATGTGAAGCACAATTCCAATATGATTGTTCCGGCTATGCTTCAAGATTCCCAGATGATCGTGTGTACTGTCGGACTACTCGTGAAAGAGCAAAAAACGGTAAGTAAAGAGGTCAAATTTACATTTTCTCAATGTAATTTAAAGTTTAATAGATCAATTAAAAACAGATTTAACATGTTCGTTGATGTTCTTTTTCTTTTCTTTTTTCTCGTCTTAGTTTTATAACAAAACTGACATCAAACTACTCTAACTGCTCGATTTGTACTTAAAATCTCTGAAGGTCACGGCTAAGCATTCCTTCTGTCACAACACTTTTGACCCAAATTTTAAGAAAAATGACTCTGTTTAGGAGGAAAAAAAACAAAATTGAAGTGTTTGGACATGATTTTCATATTTCAGGAACTTACACGGTTACAAAGGAATGCATTACTGAGACGGACCACTATCAGAAATTCCCTGACAAAGGATATCCGTTGGATGAAGAATGTGACTTGGTTGATATTAACAATGAAGAGGTTAGTTCTCTCTCTCTCTTTCTTAGTCATAAGTAACTCTATCACTATGTCCACTCTCTTTTCCTTTTCCTCTTTTTTCTATTGATGAAGTTTTAAAAAAGTGTTATCCATCAGGTCGCTTATTGTGTTTGTCGAAAATCCATGTGTAACCATGATCCTGTTGCTGACCAGTTTATGGCATTTGAAAAGGTTTTAATACTTACATATTCGCTTTTTAAACTTGTTCAGAAACATCCCGAGCTTTTTGGTGATTCAGAAACATTACCAGCAAGAGAATCTTCACCAGAACTTCCACAGGGAAATGCCCCATTAGTTGTTCCAGTAAAGCTCATACAAATCACCAATGTAATAACTTGTCTTTCATAGAATGCTATGAGGCCGAACATCCCAGCACAGTTTGCAGCTCCTCAAATATCGCCTTCAGCCATTGTACCTGTTAATGATCCTAGAGTGAGCATGATACATTGAAACGATGAAAGATGTCTTATAATTACAGTTTGCACCTACCCGACCGACCCTGCCAGCTGATGAGATACACGAAGTTCGTCGTCAGCAATTACCTACCAGAAGCGAAGAGCGTCCAGGTAGGATTGAGTTTTATTGAGTTTAATATGTGTTATTGGTTCAGAAGGACCTAGCCGCATTGATGGAATGTTCCTAATGCCCAAAGGTCCAGCAGTAAGCCAGAGTGGATTTGTTGGAACGGTTGCTAAAGAACCAGTTTTGGAGGAAAGTCCATCAAGCACGAAAGGTAAGTTAAAAGGTTTTTTTACTTTAATAGTAAAAATATAATTAAGCTCCATCAAAATCATTGCGCTGTATGCAATGTCGTGAGGAGAGATTGACGTCAGAAACTTCTGACTGTTCAGGGGCTATTCCTACAAACTGTAATCCTGAAGATGATTTATGCTTCACGCGCATTATAACTGTGGCTTCAGGCAATTGGAAGCTGTGATGAATTTCATGAAAAAATCTATTTTAGGACAATTCTCAATAGAAAAGATGTGCGCTTCAAGTAGAATCGTTAAAGCCATGTTCGGAGACAATGTTTCGGAGAACTTCTGCGGTTCTGGTTCGCAGGTAATACAAGCATTGAGGAGAATGAAAATATTTTTTTCATTTGCAGGGAAATGAAAAGTTCTGTACATGTGATGAGAATGACTGCAATCGTCCATCTTACTTTGCTCAGGTACTGTCTTCAAAGGAAACACTTCCTTCAAAAGTTCATATGAGGGAAAGAAGTGTTTGAGAGAGTTATTATTCTCGGGTTTTACATAATTGAGATGATCGAATGTTGAAAAAGGCAGAATAAGGCCATGTCTCCATAGAATCCGACGGCTAATCCTCTGTATTAAATGGAAAAGCCTGAGCAGGTTCGGCTGATTGGGGTCAAAACGAATTTCATCCAGCCATGAATGAACAAGGTCATATTCTCCTCAGGCATTATTCGAATGAACACAAGTTGATTTGGAAGTAAAGTTTATTTCAAAAAAAAGGACAAAGACATCGAATGAAACGGAGAGAAAGAGAGAGGGAGAGAATGGAAGAGAAAAAGAGAAAAAGAGACAGGGAAGTGTTTCTTTGTTAAGTTTTTAATTGAGCAGAGAAACTAATACCGGAAACAACGGAAAACTACATGCGAGATCGAGAATATGTAGGTTCTGAGGTCGAAAGAATAATTGTTTGGTGGTGAAACAGAAAGTTTGATAACGGTCAAGGTCGTCATACTTACGAATTGAGGAAGGAATCTCAGCTTTAAAAATAGCCTCCGGATGTTTTTACTTTTTTATTTTCATTTTAAGGCTTCATCCTTCGCACGTCCACCAATCCCTGAAGAACCAAAACTTCCATCGTTTGTAGCTCCACACATTCATCCATCGGGTAAATTACAATGAGGTCAACAGAAATTGAATGGATTTGCGTTACAGGGCCTTTTCCTCATTTGGCAGCCCCTGAATTACCTGTTCATCCACCTCCTGAAATAACAGAAACAGTCCATATGCCAAATAAGCAGCGTGATTCAAAAACGAAAAGCATTGAAATGGATAGAATAACAGAGGAGATGTTGAAGGTCTAGTAATGCTTTTCACTTAAAGCTTTGATGGTTTATTTTTAGAAGTTAGAGAATACAGGAGATGCCTCATCTTTCGATAAACCTATACAAGCAACTCCCTCATCATCTCCACTTCCTATTGTTCCCGTCGTCGTCAATAAGCCACGCACAGTAATTTGATAAACAATGAAGACTTGAATTGAATAACAAATTACAGAGCTTATCACGTTGTGTGACATGTAGCCAAGCTGATTTATCAGATCCAACAGCAGATTGCTCTCAAACAAGTATCATGGATTGTGCACAAATGGATTCCAACGATGCCATGTGCCTTTCGAAACAAACACAACTAGGACACGGTATGTTGAGAGTCAAAAGGATCAAGAAGATGATCTTCTGAACATTCGATTATCGCTCATTTTAACTTCTTTAACTTGTTTGGAAGGAAAACAAGAGGGAATTAAGAGAAAGCTCACAGAACGTTGTTTGGAGAGAAATTCATTTTGTTTTGTTTTTGTTGAGCGCTCAACGATAATGGGATTGTAACAAGTTGTATTCAAACCCACATGAAGTTCTACTACAGCGTGATAAAGGTCACGTGAAGTTCGATGCGTGACGACGTAGTTCACGTATTTCACGTGAACGTCATTGATTGCAAGTTTCAATTCTAGCAGACGAAAACATACAGAGCGGTTGATGACGATGTTCTTTGTGGTTTCCAAAATAATTTCAATTCATTCAGGGTTCATTATTGAAAAACGTTGTGTGTCTAAGGATGAATTCAAAATGATCGGACCCAATGGGCAGTCATTCGAAGAAGGCTGTGCGACAACTGAAGATGGAATGATTAATTACTGTCTTTGTAAAGGAGATGTTTGTAATCAAGCATCGTTATTGGCTCAAGCTCAAAACAATGGGTTCGTTCATAAGAGAGAGATATAGATTTCGTTTTTCGAAAATGCATACATCTGAGTCACCTTTTCTATTTCAGATTACAAGAATCCATACAACAAACTTTATCAAAAACAAAGGTTCGTCGAAGGCTTCGCTTGCAACATCATTCTCTTTCTCTTTTCAGCAAATTGATGCATCCAATGCCATTTTACCTGAAAGACTACCTGAGATTGTACCTGAGCAGATGGAAACAAAACAATTCGATTTGAATAATCTGAGCCCCACAGGGTAAAGCTATCTTCTTCTTCTCTCTCTCTCTCTCTATCTCACTCTCTTACAATCTCTCTCTCTCTCTCTTCACACTTTTTGTTCATTTTTTTGTTTTAAAGCAAAAGAGAAGAATTAATTCTATTTTAATTTGGAAAACATAAGGAAATATTCTTTTTCTTCTCTAAACATGTTTTTTTCAGAATAACTAATGAAGAGCAAGAGCTTATCAAACATCGCGTTCAATGGTCAAACGACAATTCAGATTCTTCATCTACACCATCACTCCAATTATGCTTAATAACAGTTCTCACATTGTTAATATTTATTTAATTATAACATAATTCGTTGTTTCCTTCTCTCTCTCTCTATCTGTCTCTCTCTCTCTATTCGTTTTTCAGCTTTAAGAGCAAATTGTTTTTGTATGTTGTATGTGTGTGTGTGTGTGTATGTGTCTCTGTTTTTTTGAACTTTGCTGTCACTTTCCAAATCCGGTAGAAGCTATTCATTGATTTCAAATTCTTATTTTTTTGTTTTCTTTAAGAAAATTATAATTTTTATCTATTGAAAAGAGTTTTTTATATTCTCCGTATGTTCTATCTTTCCAAATCTCAAAACTGCTCATATGGGTAGATGAAATATGAATAAATCATATCATACAACATGTAGTACGTTCAATAAAACCTACACAAAGACTAAGAGAGAGAGAGAAAGAGAGAGATAGACAGAGAGAGAAATGCTTGTTGAAACTTCTTGTAAGAGGTGGGAGGGAGGAGTATCAGTCATTTCCTAGTTTGTATGATCTTCTTCTTCCTTCTTTCACTAACAGGTCAGCCTATTTTTCATTTATTTTTCATTCATTCATTTCTTCTCTTCTAATTTTATTTTTATTCATCCATCAACAACACACAGACCGGAAGTTGTTAATTGATGAGATTCAAATATATTTTTTGAGGAACAATTAGACATTCAGTAGTTTGTATAGTCCCCGAATTGTCCTCCGTTATGCCCTTCCACCATAGTTTTTCTAATTTTCTTTTTTCAAACCTCAATAGGCATTCACAAATGGGTGAGTGCGGATAGAATCATTGCTACTACCTCCGCAGACATGGTAAACGAGGAAGACTAACACACACACAAACACACACATACACACACTCACTCACATACATACACATACAATGCAAAAACTGAAAACGATGATTTCACATGTGAAAAGTACAATATCATCTCTTTTCATTGCATATTAGTACGATGAGAGTTAAGAAGCAAATATGTCTTACAAAGATTCAAGCTTCAAGAAAAGGTTAAATGCTTGTTTTCACGAATGTTTGTAAGGCGAGGGTGGAGCAGAGAGGGGGGGGGAGAGCGATGCAAGGAGTGAATCTCTTGTCTGAACTTTGAGAATGCAAAAAAGGTTTTTTTGCTGCGATTTCCCTCGTTTGTCTTGAGAAAGCAGAAAAAAGAAAAAAAAAGAAGGAATTTCAGGACAATTCCATTTTCATTCAGCTATCTTACTCTGTTAAAGCATCTGTCATAGTATATGATAGAGTTGTCGGTCACATGATGATGTGTTTTGTGTTGAATGAAAGAGTTTAATTAAAATTAATTATTATAATTAAAATTAATAAGATTCTCTCATATCTTTTAAAGATTTCATTTGATTGTATGCTCAGCCATATGACTCTACTGTAGTCTTCCGGTATATTGAAAAGACAAAAGATAATTCTAGGAGTGTAGTTCAAACGTATATATCTATCTTTAGAGAGTAAGAGAGGAAGATAGAGAGAGAGAGAGAGAGAGTTAAAAGAGTATGAGAGGTAGAAAGAGAAGGAGAGAGAGAGAGAGTAGAAGGTAAACGAGAGATTGAAAGAAGAAGAGATGTTAGAGAAAGAGAGATCTCTTCTGCATTTGTTTTTGATTTTCAGTTGACTGTGGTCGTAAATGGAAGGCTAAAAAAACGTTTTTAAACTTATTTTTGACAGAAGAAAAAATGTTTTTTTTTAAATTCCCAATTGCCTTTTCGGTGATAATTCATAATAATTTGTTTTTTTCATTGTTATTACATCGTAATATATCATGTAGAGATGAAGCTGCTAAGCTTCAGTTTCTTCTTCATTCCAATTATGGAAGGTGAACTTAGCTCATGATGATGATGATGATGATGATGATGACAAGAACATGTATGTTCATTTGAAGATAAAAGAAGGCCGAGAATTCCTTCTTCTACCACTAAAAGCTCAATAGATTTCACACTTGACAATTCGTGTTTTATGCGAAAATTAAATATTTTCTTCCTCGTCTCTGGCTTCATTCCGTCAGATCTGAAAGTTCTTCTCTGTTTTTTTTAGAAACTTTCAATTTAGGAAACAAAAAAACCTGGAACGAATTGCACATATTTCTCTCTCTCTCCCTCTCTCTCTCTCAATCTCTCTCTCACTCTCTCTCTGAATCTTACTCTACATCGTCTTGATCATGTTCGCTCACTTCTTGCGAACAACCGCTCACTGAACTTTGCACACGTTGAGAACGATTTTGTGAGACAACCACTAACTGACTTGGAATGTTAAAAATCATTTTTTTTCTTCACATGTTTCTTCTGAAGAAGGTTTGAAAGAACAAATTCTTGTCGATAGAACAGCAAATAGTCAGCAAGTCAAGTGAAGCGACCAATTAGAGATGAACTAATATGGAACATTTGAATTTTTCGTAATTGCCAAACAACACAAGCTGTCTCGTCCCCCCCCCCTCACCCATCTCTCTCAAAAAAACAAAAGATAAGATAGAGACAGACGTGTATGGTGGGTCTCCTTTTCTTTTACTTTCATATTATTATATTCGAAGTTTTGAATATATTTCCTGAAGGCTATTTATAAGTTGCACATACATATCCATTCATGGTAACTTCTCGCATTTCTCTCACAGCTTCACCAATTATCCACGGATATCATCTTGCACTCTCTCATTCAACGTTCGTTCAAAAATTATTTTTATATTAGCTTTTCATAGGTATATATGCTAATTCCTATTATTCCATTTGTATTTTACGTGAAATACGTGAAGATTAGAATATTCGACGTGGTTAACATGGCGTCCTTTTGCTTATTTGTTTCACATGACAGGACGTGATGAACGGTTGTGCTTTTCCAACACCTCCCTTCCTCTTTCACTCTCTCTCTCTTTCTCTCTCTCTATATATCTCTTTCTCATTCTCTCTATCATTTTAACTTTTTCTTTTTATATTCCTAGAATCACATAGGGTTGTTGCCCTTTGCTTCTCCTTGCTGTTCTTTGTCAAATTAGTTTTGCTATTCTTTATTAAGAAACTTTTTGATGCATATGCAGAATATTATTTTGTGAGATCAGTGATGTCTTCAAACACCCTCACTAATCCTTATTATTCATCTTTCAACGTCTTCTTCTTTCCTTATCTCTTTAACCTCATTCAGCTTATATCTCCTTCCGATGACATTGTATAAAAGGTGAAGAACGATGCATAACGCAACAACAGCCAGCACTCACACACACAAACGAAAACGTTCTCATCTTCCGCAACGTCGCCAATTAAAACCTTCTTTTTATAAAAAAAAAAGGAAAATTTCTTTTTATATGTTTTCCTTCGCACAAACAGAGGTTTTTTTGATATCCAGATGATTGTTGTTTTGAGTATAATGATGACTGACTTCTGACACCACTTTTCTACCTATTTTGACGTGCTTCTCTATATCTCTCTCTAACCTTTTGATACTTTCTCTCTTTTTCTCTTTATATCTCTTTCTTACTCTCTTTATTCTACCCTTTTCGGTTACTCACCATTCTCCTGCTTCTTCTCTTTTTTTCCTTTCTGCTTCACATCCATCTGATGTCCTGATGGCACGATCTATTCGTAGTCAGCACTCAGCCATTATAGTAAAATCATCATCCTCCCTTTTGCCAGAAAAATCCAAGGGAAAGTGGAAAAATATTTTTTTCATTTGTTTTAATATGATATCATTCTCTCTGTTACATCATGTATTGTGTTAAAGCCCTCTTAGTTACTATGTGCTTTCAAGTTATATGTCCCACGTCAATGTATTCTGAAGTTCAAAGCTATTTCTCGATTATGGTGAGAAATGATGAGGAGTAAGGTTCATGAGAAAACAAACAAAAACATATGTGGATGTACGTGTGTGCATATGCATGTGTGTGTGTCTGTGTGTATGCGTGTGTATGGGTGATGTTGTTCCAAGCTTAACCCTTGCATACCGAACGACTGGAGTGGTCATGAGAATCGATTGGATAACTCCTTAACTATATATTTATAAATACAACTATTTGTATATTTAAATAATATTGACTGGAATACTAAACAATACATATTTCAGTCTCATTCTTACTCTCTTTCCCCTCTCACCCCCTCTTACTCTCACCCGCCACAGACCATCGAACACAAACAACACAAATACAAATGGCCGGGTAAATTCTTGAACGGAAACAAAGTACCGATGAAGCATTTTCTTTTTTTTAAGCTTTTCATTCTTCCATTTTCTATATCCTCTCACTCCCCCTATTTCATCATTTTAATTACCTTTCTGTTTTTTCCTTCCTTAACCCCCCTCTATTAATTTTTCCCAAAGTCTACTACAATTCATATTTTCCTTCCTGTCTGACACTCTCTTGTCATTCAACTTCATACTCAGAACTAAATCTTCCTTCTTTCATTACTCAAAAAACTTTTTTACCTTCATCTTCTATACTTCCACCGCCCCTCTTGTTCTCTCTTCCTGATCGCATGTCTTCAAGCTATGGGGCTTATCTGACTTTCCACGAAACTTTTACAAATTTTTTTTCAACAAAAACAGTTTTTCATCTGGCAACTCCGTTTTGTTTTAGCAAAAACGTTGTTTTTGAATCACAACAAATCATTCCTCCACACAATTCCAAGCAATTCATTCGTGATTTCCAATAGTTTTGAAGCCATTTCGTTGAGTTTTGGTTTGCATCTGAAGCCTCACGGTTGAAGATTCTGAAAATGATCCAATTTTTGGTATCGAATGAATTCTGTTAGAAAGCAAAATTCATTGGTCTCTAGTCAGCTGCAGTTTGATCAGAGAAGCTTCTGCAATACTTGGTTGTTGGGAAGAAAGAAGAGAAGTAGTAAAAAGAATGAGGATGAGACGATGAAGACGCTGAAGCAGAAGACGGTGAAAGAAGCACACAACCTTCTGATGATATGAATTCAGATTTTTTTCAAACATATTGTTCTGCATTAGAATTCCCTTCAATCGTTCTTGCACATTGTTTGTTTCGTTGCTAGAAGAAGAAAAAAGATGGAGAGAGTATAGGTGTGAGAT